AGAGAGGAGTGATGATTGGTTAACGCGGGGTAACATTTCAGGGTAAGCCAATCAGAGACAGAGTTGGGCGGGTCTTTCCTTATGGGGAAAATACACAGACACACACACAACACACACACACACGGCAACGCCCACCACCAGCGCACACACACACACACACACACACACACACACACACACACACACACACACACACACACACACACACACACACACACACACACACACACACACACACACACACACACACACACACACACACACACACACACACACACACACACACACTATGGCAGATACAAGTATCAGCAAGAGCAGCAGCGCATTTACAACTTGGAGATATAACCACTATTTTCAATTTGTGGGGATAAAGGACGCAAAAAATATTATGGTCAAATGTAAACTGTGTGCAGGACAGAAATCATTGTCCACATCGAATAACAGCAATGCCAATCTCCTGAAGCACCTAACGAATGTACATGTGGGGAGTTGTCTTTTCTCTTACGGTGCCACAGAACAACACAAAAACTTGTATTTGTATTGTTATTATTTCAAAAGTAAAGTAACTAGTTACTAATTGCTTTTATAATTTAGTAACTAATAAAGTAACTAGTGACTTTTTTGAGAGCAGTAACTATAACTATTACTAGTTACTTTTTAAAAGTAACTTGCCCAACACTGCTTATAAGACATTTTATATTATACCTTAAAGCATAAGATAGGTCTATTAATTATAAGTTATAAATACGAGATCTATCTTATGCTGTTGAGTTGTGTAACCTACTTTCATTAATGTTTCTGTTATAATAATAAAATAATAATAATAATACATTTATATAGCTCTTTTCTAAAAACTCAAAGACGCTTTGACAGACTGTTAACTAAAATAAATGATTTTAACAATATTCAAACCTAGAGGAATCAATACTTTTGATCAAGATAACAGACTGTTTTGTTGTGTCTCCTGATGTATCTCCTTTGGGCATGAATTGTGTGTTATAAACTGTTATGTATTTATTTCTGTTTTTATCCAATCACATTGCAAATGGTGGGGCCTTGTTTCAGTCCTGATTAGGCTTTGGGTTAAAATGATTCTGTACCTTCAATAGGGACTTTTTAGCATAGATATGTCTGTAGAAATATCAGAGGGATAAACACAGTGTTTCCAAGATATGATCTCATGATGATGATGAGAGCTGTAGTTTAGCAGATTCTCTTTAGAAATGTTTTGAATTGTAAATGTATCCAGGGTCCATGACCTGCTTAATCCCCACTTTGTTTGAAACTTGCCTTTCTTGAATATCATTGTACTCTCTTTTTATTATCCAACAGATAATATGTAGTCAACATAAAATAGGAGTAGCTACAGGAGCCTTCTGTGATAAGCCTTTAGGCCAGGCTTTATCAATCAATGTTTATTTATCCCCATATCACAAATGTTACATTTGTCTCAGTGGTCTTCACAGTTTGTACAGAATATCAGTATGACAATACGACACCCTCTGTCCTTAGACCCTCACATTGTACAAGGAAAAACTTCCAGAGAAAACCCACAGTTTAAAGGGAAAAATAGGAGAAACCTCAGGGAGAGCAACAGAGGAGGGATCCCTCTCCCAGGACGGACAGACGTGCAATAGATGCCGTGTGAAAATCGAAAAATACATTTACAACATAGGTAGACCAAATGTTTGAATGCATGCATGTTTTATCATCACCATTCTTGAATTTGTTTTGCTTTATACCCAGATATTCTGAGATTGTTGTGATCTTTTTTTTCAGATGTCCAAAATCAGATAGCTTTGTCATTAATCAAATGTCTCATTGCTTAATAAAGTTTTAGTAATTTTTTTAATGTCATTAATTTGTGGGAAACGAGAAGTTGTAAGCTCAAAGTGCATGCACATCTTTTGATATTGGTAGTGTCTGCATCATGTTGTGTGGACATATTTTTCTTTTTGACAGCAGTATTTCACCATAACCTCCTCCTCCAGATCTGATTACTGGCCAGATCAATGTTAGTTAATATGTGGAAACAGAAACATGTTGTCGTAACACCTGTCCTGCCACTCTATGATTATATTGGCAGTTGAACCTGTCGGATGGTACACATTAAAAAAGGCTGTTGACTTTATCAATAGAGCAGTTGACTCTGTCTTGATGGCACTGACCTGATGGTCAGCAATGACTGTTTATCACTTATTCACTCTGCGCTCTCAGGCTGCAGACTTCCGAGTCTAATTTAAATTGGGAAGCTTGGATGGGTTAATCGTGTCCTGCTTGATTTTTTGGGGAATTTCTTAAACTGAAATACACTCAAAAACTATTAAAAAATAAGTGTGCTTCTGGCTTTTGAATGTTACGTCTATTTTTTAGCCCCTCCCACCTTCCCCCAAGAGGCTGCCATTTGCTAGGCTGCTACTGTCAATTATAATTCGTTCTTGATGGCTTGCCTTTTAATACAAAATTATATTTTTAGCAATGGCCTATTAATGTGATACTCAAGGCTAGAAACAAGCATATTTTGATGATCTCATTGACTTCTAAACCTAAACAATAGTTATGATTTTCCAAAATATTTGCCCTTTCCGAAAAGGATAATGATACAATGAAACTTTGCCCCTTTTTACCACTGATCCTGTTCGGCCCCATATTAGACACAGTCTTGAATGTTTCTGTGTTGCTATGGTAACTTGTGGTCTATGGAATATGAAGGGCTTGGGTGACGCCAAGCCAGAAACAGTGGCACTATGACACAGTATACATTATCTGTTGAACATTATAGCATCCTCCCCTCTAAAACGGTCATTATCACTGATGTTGACACAGAAGGAAAACTTGCATTAATTGTACTATTGAAATAATAATGATTTTTTTCCTTACTGCAAAATATAGTATTATCGTTTGAAGGAGTTTTGGAGCATAATGAGCAAAACAAAGCCATGTCATTTTTAGTTATTAATCCCAATCAAACTGATTTAGGCGATTCGCTTAATCTGCCGTTGCTAATTCCTCTGTAAATACATGGTATGACCATGGTCTTTGCCCTTACATAAAAATGTATGTGATACAATACGATTACATTTGGATAATAGGTCATTTGTACTACATGACAAAGTGTGAGTTGTCACTCATATGGCCTAATTAGCCATGGTTCTGTGCTGCAGTAGTGAGGTTAAACGTATTTTCATTTGCTTAACACACTGAAATGTATACGTAATCAAACTGACCAAATCATTCTAATAAAGATATTGAGGGTTCAAGAGATAAATAACTGATGTGCCACATATCTTAGTAAAAAACAATAGCAGCAAGTCAAGGATAGCTGTGTCACATCTCCGTAAATTCTAGCAGCTCTTGTCCTTATCAGTTTTGTCTATTTTAAATTAGACTTTCCCCTCGCATCAGGTAAACTATTCAACCCTCCTCTTAAAAAATAAATGGTCCAGGCATGTAGATAAAAAAGCAGATGTGATTGTTGGCTAGTTGTGATCCCTCCGCCTCTCTTACAATGCTTGAGACCATGCATGATCATTATCCACCGACGTCACACGGTCAGATCTAAGAAGGTCATGGATTATCGGGAGAAAGGAATGAATGAAGGGGAGGAAATAAAGCTCTGAGGTAGTTGTGGATACAGAACAATGGTGAATGGGAGGGGGGGTTTGTCACTGAGCACATAATTAGTAGGATAGGGAAACAGTAAAGAGTAAATGTCTACATCAAAATACAAATCCAGACCTAAATCATATAACCTTAATCCACCCGGTGAATGGAAAAAGAGGATGCCGGATTTTGATATTCAAACTCACCCACTGGTAAATTCTGAACGCTGAGGCAAAATTGATCGGATAAAAAGGGCTTCAAAGAGAAGGCAGTTTCCATGAAAACCAGATGGCTAAAGAGATTACTTTCTCTTCATACCAGACACAAGAATATGCCATTTCTAAAACCCTCTGTCCCAGAAATACTGAAAAAGTAAGAATTACTTTGCTCATTGTAATGTACACTTTACAAAAGTCACACTTTACAATCACAGTCGCACAAGAAAAACAAACCATGTCATAGTCACTGCAACAATGTGGTGAACATTACACATTTCCCCTCACATCTCATGACATTCTGTCTGTGTTCTTAGAAGCAAGCAATAAATGTTAGTAGCCTTTAAGATAATGAAATGATTGGCAACCTCCACTGGGAGGACATTTCTAAATACAATAAAGTATATTGGCCTCAGTTAAATGTTAAATGTATAACTTATGTTATATAACATGATTTAAATAAAACTATACAATCCTGTTGTACTTGACTTTACATAAACTCACTATTAATATATTTCTTCCAATTCAATCTTTGACTGCCTTTATTTTAATAAACAGAGTAAGCCAAACTGACTGATCCGTAATGAGTCAAGATGCAATGCGAGGTTTTGACAAGAGAGAAGATACTTACAAAAACATGGCTAGCTAATAAAAAAGATTGCAATATAAACTATTACACTTTGTTTCTAAACCATCAATGAATATATACTGTAATCAAACTGTAATGTGTTAGCCATGCTTCAAACGGACTTACCGATTAGATGTCACTTAAAATCAGATGCGGCCAGTCTCCTCTTCAAACTCAACCTGTGAAAATAAATCTGTTTTCACAGCCATGAGGATCAGTGTTGGCAGCAGAAGCTGTTTTTGTTGACACTCACTGCTCTCAGTGTTACTGTATTGCACTTGGCCATACTTCCCTTACACGTATCTTGTAACACATACATTCAAGCAGAAAATATAACATCTAACATCATTATTTATTACAAAGTCATTAGCAGATATGGTCCGAGCAACTATTAAATAGGCCAAATGCAGGGAGCTGCTTTATGTTAGTTAGGCTTTGCTTTACTGTATGACAAGTTGACTTTTCTTGACCACCGGACTCAAAAATACATTTCAATATTTGTTATAAAAATGTCCTAGTCCAACTGAAACTTGGATAAATGACAGACACATGTGCAGCATTTATAAATCTTATTATTCAACAATATTCACATTACAACATCAACACTGCTCTGCTAGTGACAGGTTCTAATAATCCCAATATATTGTATAGTTCATTTGTAATACATTATCGAGAGGCACTTCCAGTAAGTCTGGCAATAGAGGAGCTACAGTATTGTGTCTAAATTACAAAACAGTAAAAATAAATATTTTTCTAAAAGTTTTTTTTTCATAATATACTTTGAATCTGTACAGAATATATTTGTTTTATACAAAGCCAAACCATATCTAGAAATAAAATGTCATATATCACTTAAACAAATACTGGTGAATCACACAATGTCCCATCCTGTAGGTATTGCTACATGTGTATTGCTACAAGTGCAAGATACTGGTGAGAAGAAAACAATTGAGTCTGTGAAGCGCCTGCTATACAGTAGAAAATAAAAAATAATCATACTAGTCTTGTTTGTGTTGCTTTAAATGAAAAAAAAGTTTGTTTTGGTTTCCTTTGTAACGAACACCGAAAGCTGAAGAATGTAGCATTCAAAGAGTATAGACATACATGTGAAAATGGTATGGCATAGGAGCAGAGCCCCCTTTAAATTGGCTGAAACAACAAACAATACAAAAAGGAATGTTTTTGGTTCAAACCATCAAAAGAAAGGGCTTCAGTCTGAGAGCAGAACAGTCTGCCAGGTCCACTGTGCTACTGCTGCCTATCACAATGCAGTGAAATAAAAATACTACACCGTCTGTTAGCAGGGGAGCCGCCAGGGATTTTGGGCACCATGAAAAGATATCACATTGGTTACTTAAACATTTTTTCTTAATGTTCTAAAATAGTTTGGGCCCCTGTCTGTCACAGGCCCTTAGAATCGTCCTAACTTTTCACCCCCTTACGGCGCCCCTGTCTGTTAGATCAATGCTTCATTAAAGTTTCTTATGCTTTAATCTTCCCTGTCTGTACATGATAATTGTTACTAAGTATAAGCATATCCAGACATGCTTCTCAGGTTCTGAATAACACTGAAAAATAAGAAGATGCAAGAAACATGCTCCTTTTAGGGCTCTTTTTTGTGAAAATCACAGAAAAAGACAGAGTTCATAAAGTGTCTTTGGTTTGCACAAGTTAATTCAGTGTGCAGCAATCGCCTTCTGCTCGTCCCTATTTAAAAGAAACTACTGATACTGGCTTTGTTTTGTACCAGTTTTTACACAAAGACAATGTAAAACGAGATGTCTCTGGCCACTGATGTTGCCAAGAGACACTCAGATAATAACAAAAAACTGATAAAATGAGCTTTCATGTTTGGTTGCCAAGAATATTTCGGAAGAAAATGAAGAATTTTGAGAGCCAGCGGGTAGTTGATATTTAATAGGGCCAAAAGGAAGGGCGTCAAACAAACTCAAAGAGCAACTCATCATCCTCAAGTAGTTTAACCTTTCACTGCAGTGATGTGGGGAGGGAGGCTGTGGCTCAGTGGATAGTGTGCTGGACTTCGAATCACGGGGTAGCAAGTTCGAGTCCCACTGCAGTCAGCATGTCGTTGTGTCCCTGGGCAAGACACTTCACCCCAAATTACTCCTGTGGGGATTGTGCACAGTATTGAATGTATGTTAGTCGCTTTGGATAAAAGCGTCTAACAAATGACATGTAATAGTGTACTTCAAGGTGTGTCAGTACACCATGACATCACTGCAGAGTTGGGTTAAAGTTACTGCAAAACTGGGATCATACCAGTGTTTCCAAAAGTTTTAAAACGTTTCACTTAATCATGCGTAGCCTACTTTACATTTCACAAGACACTTATTAAACCAGCCAACGAAGATGAATAAAGCTACCCTTTAAGATTTGAGGAAACCCTTCCTTATGTCTGACAAAAAAAAACCTCAATGGCAACAAACAGCTTCATATTGTTAACAAAAAGAATAGTGATCACAAACTCTATCACAGCTTTGATTCCGTCTCTTTGATTGCTGCACTGCAGTGTATACAGTTAGTGAGGCAGGGCTGGAAAGGGAGATCAGAGGAAGGGAAGCGTCTATTTTGACTAACTGGATCCCAAGTGAGCTTTGAATTCTCTGATCAGTTAGAATTCAGGCTAATAAAGGGAAAGGAGTGGGAGAAAATCTACAAATTCCCAAACAGAAGTAGGCATGGGATGGTGCAAATGTGAGATATAAGAAAAAATCCATTGCAAGAGTATGCACAGTAGATTGCAAGTGAGGCCTCGATATATACTATACGGTGCGTCGCGTATTTACAGTGCATGGAGCAATAGCTCATTCATGAGTGCCACAAATTCCTGTTGTTTACAGGAGGCTTTTTACAGTTTATGTCATTTTTAAACTGAAATTTGCTACAGAGCTTCAAAAAGGGTCAACTAAAAGACCCATTAGGTTGCCTTACATACAGTTGTGTATCAGCTGGTGTGCAGATCATTCTCACCACTACAGATAAACTTATCATGAGAAGCCAATGCAAGGACAGGCTATTGGAAGACATAAGGTCCAGCAGGGGACATGTATAAATATAAGTCAACTTGCTATATTAAAAACACACTGCTGCACGTTTTGGCAGATAAGACGTACATTGTTCAGGGGTCTGATAACCCTTTCTCTTTTTTTCTGTTGCCAAGCAAAATTTGCTGCTTTCATTATGGACTGAGCCACATCAATGCTGGGGGTAATTTAGCAACGCTGGAAGGACTTCCGACAAAGTTTTATAAGAGAAACTAAATGGAATTGTTCGCCAACTAAAGAATTACTGAAAATATACATTTCTGAAATAATGGACTCAAAAGTGTAGTCATGGAGTCAGACCTACATTTTGAAATCCACCTTAGGAAAATTACCAAATCATTCTACTATCATGATAAGATTATATAAAAAATAAAAGGTTTGCGTCTCAGCAGGATGTAGAATTGGATCGATTGGACGTATGCACTGCCTCAGAACGCTGAGTCCTCACTAAAACCAAGAGACGACAGCTCTCAGATTGTTACACTGGCCTCCTGTGTGTCAAGGAATTTACTATTTGTGTGTTGGTCTATAAAGCACCGAATGGCTTTAGGGCCAAAATAAAAGCCTTATCTTCTGCTCCGTCATGAAGCGTCAGGTCTGCTTACCGTCCCCAAAGTCAGAACTAAAAATGGAGAAGCAGCACTGAGTTCGAAACTTTTCTTTTATTCTGTTCTAGCTTTTTTATCTTTCATTTTATTCATTCAAATGTGTCTTTTTGTATATACTTGTTTTTAATTTTTTGATGCATAATATGTCTTTTATAAATAACCTCAAACTTCCCTGTTGTTAAAAAGTGCTACAATAAATAAACCTGATTTAGTTTCCTCTCAGCTGGATCTGAAACACTAACAATATGCTCAGGCTCAGAGCACAGGCACAGGCTTTCTTTTTTATAGCAGTGAAAACAATCTCACCACTGCACCCTTCTCCGTGCAAAGGAAATACGCAGTCAAGGGCATTAGGTTGCACGGTTGAGCCCTCTTTTGCACAATGGGCGTTTTGATAACAGTGCAATGGATACAGCTGAGGATTTAGACAGTATTAAAGTTAATAAAACTCTAATTGAGTTAAGAAATTGGGTCACAGTAGGGCAAGTTCATCCAGAAAAAAAACTTAGATAGTCTCTGCAAACAAGCCTATTCAATTGGTCTGTTTGTCTCCAGTGCATTTAAATAATTTCATTTCATTAAGTATAATTGGTATCCTTAGTGGATGTTTGCATTTCTATCTAATGCTCTTTGTGAATTAACTAATCACAATTCTCCTGGGCATTTTATGTTGCCTCAGAGATTCCACGACTGCATTCTTGCAAATTCCCTACCTGCTACAGAGCTGAAGAAAAATAACATATCAATGAACTTAAATACCTCTGTTAACAAGCCCCTCAGATAGACGCACACGCTGTGATTTATCAGCCTACATCGCCTCCTGAGCATGTATTCACTTTGCAATTTTGACACATTGACTGCTACACATCAGTAAGTGAAGACACAAGGCATCTATAAATCTCTGAACCTGAATCCCCAGTGCTGCGTAGCTTTGCCAATGTCAGATCAAATACACTGTACTGAGTATCTGTGTAATACATTGTGCAGACTTGGAGACGTATATCATCACATGATTTGGAATCCGACCTAACTGACTCATCTTCAAAGGGTTACATCTAGAGGAATCTACTGAAATGTGAAAAGGATCTAAGACCCCCCCTTGACTTGTCATAAGCAGCTACAAGTCAGGCTAAAAGGCTTCTCCCTCTCCTCCTTCCTCTCTCATTACTAAGTCTTATTACTAAGGCTGTTCTCCGTGTTCACACTCTTCTCCATCGCCACCAGTCTCATTCTCTGAGAACATCAAAGGAGAGCAAAGACACCTCGTTAGGCCATACACCGTGTCATTGGTAAGGACTGCAAATGGAGAACAAAAATCCAGGTCTGCTGACCTATGATAAGATCTCAACGAAACATTCTCTAACATAACTCTATATTTTCTATATTTTGTGTCCATTATGCTACTTTAAAAAGAAACCATGCAGAATAAAAGACATCTTCAATTACAGCCTTTTTCAAACTACTTGTATCTCCTTACCTGTGTTGGTAAAATTCTAACATTCCTTTTTTATTGGCTCTCCTTGAGGATTAACTACATGTACAACATCTTTTGATTTCCTCAGTGTTAGTTAAGAAAACCCTGACAGTATCACAGAAAATTACAGTTTTACACTTCGTCAATTCTAAATTTGACTTTAAAAAGGATTAACTAATATTATATATTAATTATCAATAGACATGTATGCAGCTGTGACCCTTGTTTTGTGTTATTCCTTAAAGCAAGGCTTAGACAAAATGGGTCTTTGCAATTTGGTGCAACATAACAAATGAAGGATTTGGATCTGATTGAATCATTTTTAGCGGGTACACAGCAACCCCTGGATTTGTTTATGTATGATGGAGGTTAATCCTCTCTGGTGATTTGGAGCTGTGAGGTAACTCCTTCCCAGGCCACTATGGCTTACTGGATTACTTTACTTCGGGAAAAATTGGCCTACATACCAGCTATAAATGATATTGCAAAGAAGAAATAATTCTGGTCATTAGTTAGAAAGTGGCATAAAATGTGAATATAAATTATATTTTCTTGACAAAACACATGACCTTATTAGCTAGTTTTGTGTCTTGTAAGTTGGTTTGATGTAATTAACAGTATGATCTGCAGTGTTGTAGCATAAGGGGACCTTACACTTAAAAAGCAGTAATTCAATAGAGTTGTGTTCTACAGTATAATGTGATCTATTACCTTGTTTTCCTTGTGGTACTTTTGTTTTTCACAAAGGGCACCACGTGTCTGAGTAATTCAAAAGCATCACAAACAGCATAGAAAGAAGATCTTGTAAAAGCGGCAAGTAAAGGACAAGGAAGCTACACGTCCTGTCCAGGCCATTTTTTCTCTATGGGTTTCTGCCTTCCTGAGTTGTGTGGCTTTGAAACGTGAAGGTGTGCTGGACTTACTTTTGTAAGAAAACACAGGGAGAGAACATGCGGACAAACATTGTAGTACATGAACAAAACCCTTGTTGTGTATGTTTTTCCTTGAGCGAGAATAAAGCTTTTAGAGCAACAGGGTTCTTTGTTAAACTTCTTATCTGTTCAGAGAATGGAATGTGATTCTACAGTAGCATTGTGTGGGTGTGTGTGAAGCTTGTGTGGGTGTATGTCCGTATTCACAATGTACTACAACTGGGCCTTTTTCCCCGTCTACCTCTCAAATCCACACGGCTGAGCCCCAATGGACACACAGTCTTTTCCCTGGCTTTCATCCCATTGTCTTCACTGACTTGTTACACATCCTCCACCAACCAGCTGAGTGGCTCCACAGTGTGCTGTGGGTGCAACACCAAGGGGGGGGGGGGGTTGTGACAGTGTATTACTCACTGGTGGAATGAATCTGTGAATCTGCGTGGTTAGCCTGTAGTGGGACGGGCAGCCTGGGTGAGGGCAGCCGATCCAGACTAAATCAAACACTACAGCAAAAACAAGTACAGTCCCAATATTTTTTTTTCTTTTGCTCATTGCACCTCTCTTCCCTCAACAGATAAACTGGGCATGCATAATCCCTGTCCTCAAAACCAGGTTTTTGTTAGGCACATATTACCCCAGATATCTTCTACAGTGTTGTGTGATGTGCTGGCTACCATATCAAGAGTTTAGTTATAAGAAATACAAATGTTTAGACAACGTTCAGATTCCTGGTTTAACGAGGAAGACAAAGTTCATAATATCACTCTGGTTCCTTATCGTTTTCCCCCGAAGTCTCTGATTGTGGAAATGTTTCTTCTTCCTCTATAGCCGGTATCTCTTCCCTTTCATCGAGGCCGTCAGTTGACTCCTCCTCCTTGCTTGCTAGCTCTTCCTCTTCCTCGTGAATGGCTGTGATTGGATCAGTGGGGCTGCTGATGCAGTTTGGCTCCTCTTTCTGAGCTTCCTCCTGAGCTTCTGCAGCGATGACTCTTGTCCACATTTCATGGTTTTCCAGAATATGCTGTGTTATCTGGCAAAACACTTTCCTCCTGCTCACCTTGTTGGTTTCTTGTCGCTCTGTCAGAGACAAAGTCAACAGTTAGACAAACTCCTGGAAAAGCTGACCTTGCTTACTTGCCAAAAGATAGAATACAGGACTGATGCAATCTGTCTGAACATTAAATGTTAGCCAAAACCTGGAGACAGTTAGCTCAGCTTAGCTTAGCATCAATAGAGCAAAACCGCATTGACAATGTTTAAAGTTTGTAAAATTCCACAAGCATCATCTCTAAAGCGCTCTTTAGTCAAATACATGCAACATCTTAAATGTAAAATGTAAATGTGTGGCCAGTGACTGCTTGAAGTTGCCTCTCGTTGTCTGGCTACCATAGCAAAGTTAAACTAACTGTTTTTCCCCGTACCTAGTCATTATGCGAAACCAAGAAAAATGTCTCCGGGTTCCAGCTGGATATTATCAAAGACAAATACAAGTCGTATCAATCCGTTAATCTAAATCTCAGTAAGAAAGCAAATCCTTCTATATCCCAAAATGCCAAATGGGCCGTTTAATATGTTAGCTAAATAACAATGCAATTTTACAATCTCTGTAGGCATTCTAACTAAGTGCATCACAGTTGTATGAAGTGGCTATGGGGTACAAATACCTTCCAATAAATGTGAGTAAAACAATTTGTATTAAAACATGACTGTATTATTTTGCAGAGGTTGACATACGGGAGTTCTCAGAACTTGTTGATGTGTCCTCATCTGCTGATTCCTCCTCTTCCTCTTCTGTATCGAGTCCCTCCTTCGCCTCTTCTGCATCTGTCTCTCCCTCAGGGGGGTCAACCCAGCGTGCCGGCATAAGAGCAGCAGAGTTGTAGGAGGAGCACAGAGGCCCCACGATGTGAGTGATGAATGACTCCTGCAGTTTAGCGAGCTGTGGAGCGGACCTGTCCATGAAAGGGCTGATGGGAAGGCCCAGGCTCGCTTCTTCGTCACCCTAGGAGGGTACAAACATGGAAAATATGTCAGATGCACAGAATGGATTAAACATTAATGTGCTGGAAAACATTACATGCACACAATCACACAGTTACAGTTACAGTCCTATTGTGGTCTTTTCCATTTTTGACATTTCTTGATAATAAATATGGCTTAGATGTATGTTGCAGAGTCTTATGTTATATGGCTTCTGTTGATGTGACATACATTGTGTCAGTCATTTGCTGAGGTTTTGTGTTGGTTTTCTTTTTGCCGGGGCTTTTAAAGCGCTTCAGTATAGGGGGACAGAGGGGCAAGGGCTCCCGTTGCTATGGAAACCTGAACTTGTATGGCATCAGTGTGCTGGCCTAGTGGTCCGTGTTATAGATGTGATTATGTGTGTGTATATGTATAGTAGGTGGGGAGAGAGAGAGAGATAAAGGGGATTGTTCATATCATAACAAGAAATTGCTGATATTTTGAATTTAAAGTGGTCCGTATGTGTGTACGTGTGTACATTTGTCTGTGCATAATATGTGCGTGTGTCTGTGCCAATCCATCCCTGGGATCCTTCTCTCTGTGACTGCGAATGAGTGCTTTCAAGGATGACTCATTTAGGCCATCCATTGTTCTGAAGAGAAAAACATACGCAGTCCCTCAAAAGACATACATATTTCTCAAAGCTATTCCGTGAACTGACCAGAGGGTTTGAGATAAGCTAAGACTCAGAAACACATCAGAGGGAGGAAGTCTTCCTCAGAAATAAGCAAAGCTATGATTTTTTTTCTAGATTTTTTTCCTGGTTTTCAAATATACACACATTTTTTTAATTAAGAATGGACAAAATAAACAAATATTGAGAGTCAGTTTGCTGATTGAGAAGCATTGTGATAATACATCTTTGTATACATATAAATGTGTTTTTTCATTTCGAGTTGAATAAATATTAGGGATAAAAGTGAAAGAAATATTTGTTTGCATCTTTACCTTCTTTAATGCATAGCAAAAAATTGCTTTATTTAAGTCTTTGGCGATTTGCTTGGCACTTACTGAACTGACCAATGAGACGCACTGTTGGTTAAGGGCAGGATATGTTGCCATGCATCCATCTACAGTAGTCTCTTAACAAATTCATGAGCTAGTAGACAAGTCTTTTGACTATTCTATTTCTGTTTGCAGGGAACATCCAGTTTCACACATAAAGCACTTGGCGGAAGGTCCTTGAGCGAGAAAGCAAATTACTATCATCTGCAGAGATGCTGTTATGCAGTTGATCCTGACCTCACTCTATAAGAGGTGAGCAAAAAGCTGAATTGCTTCTAGGAAGCAACATCCATAGCTTTATCCTTGGAAATATTGTAATACAATTCCAAGAATCGGATAAGAGTTGGTTAGCTTTTTGCTGACTGTCAATCAAATCTGATAAAACATCACCCACTCAGTCCTTATGATGCATGTTATTTCTGACCTTGAGTAAAAAATACCAAATATCTTGTTTTTTTATTCATAAATGTTGATTAGCATTCAAGTTTTAAGGGGTTTTAAAGTGAGACAAATACAAACAAATGTTTTCTGTAAATAAAATGCAAGGGAAGGTAAGATAATTGTTCTTATTCCTGAGGGGCAATTTGTTGCACAGCCAGCAGTTATACAGTCAACAGACTAATCAGCATACAAACACATAGAAACAGGGAATAATGGATTCTTCAATCTATTGGTCCGACATCTTGGGAGAACATTCTGCAACCAGTTTGCAACCTGAACTCACTGAACATAAGGTGACTGGGGTCGGCAAGGAGAGTTGGGTCTTTTTTGTATCTGTGACCTTGTCCGCTTGAGAAAGGTACACTTGAGATGTTGAAAATAAAATGCACTATTATTCAATTCTCTACACTCATAGGATCTGCAGCTAGAGCAGGAATTGGTCTGGAATGGTCAATAGCTTAAGGTGGCCAATGTGAATTTATAGTAGCAGATACAAAAATTATATATTGTTGTTTAATTGCTCACCCAAGTAAAATACATTCTGACGAGTTTATGATCTCAATTGCTAGTTTCAAGCCTTCGTCAATAAAGCATGATGTTCATTTAAAGAAATGTGATCCCATTTGAAGTAAATCAGATGATTAAGCACCTATGCTTTACCTTTTTTTTTTACCACTATGTTGTCCAATCTGGTTGCTCTCCTTGTTTCCTACTTTCAACTTATAACCCTTTACAGTGTGTTATCAGTTCAGGAATGTATTTGTAAACGTTCTCCAGCATTTGGTTTTATTTTGCTCCACCCTGTTCTATCACTTCTTAGTGCAAAACTAAGATAGCAAAAATGACATACTAGGGTCCTCCTAACCCTAGTCCACAAACCCTTTATGAGATCACAGGGACCTTTTCCTAGAAACAATATAATTATGTTCAGATCTTATATATACGGAGCCCCTAAAGGGACATGTAAAAAAAAAAAAAAACAGAGAGAGAAAAAAAAAAGTCAGGATAACGAGTTAGTATCTCGTGCTCGAGATACTAACTCGTTATCCTGACTTTTTTTTTACTAACTCGTGCGCACTTTTTTTTGTTGAGAAAGTTACCGGTGCGCCAAGGAGGAAGTGAAGCGCACAGGAGACAACCATTTCATTGCAGACTGTTATGTTTACGTGGGGAAATGACAGTGCATACATTATTTGAGATATATATCGTACTTAGACGGCTAGTGACAGGGCGGCCCACTTTGGTACCGGCCCAATGGGATTCGTCCCGATGGCCAGTCCGCCACTGGCTCTGTGTGTGTGTGTGTGTGTGTGTGTGTGTGTGTGTGTGTGTGTGTGTGTGTGTGTGTGTGTGTGTGTGTGTGTGTGTGTGTGTGTGTGTGTGTGTGTGTGTGTGTGTGTGTGTGTGTGTCTATAAAACAGTACTCTGAGAGTCACGGACATTAATTCATAGATCAAAGCAGACTGGTTTACAGACTCGCCAGTGTTTTGCCAATCCGGTGCTTAAACCAATAGCTCTACAACCCTGGCCGAAATGTCCATAAAATTAAGTCTGACTTCAAAATATATCTCAAATAATGTATGCACTGTCATTTCCCCACGTAAACATAACAGTCTGCAATGAAATGGGTTGTCTCGTGTTCCACTTCCTCCTTGGTGCATCGGTAACTTTCTAAAAAATAAATAAAGTCAGGAAAACGGATTTGTTTCTCGTGCGCACGAGAAACAAATCCGTTTTACTGACTTTATTTTTTTTCGCTCTCTCTCTTTTTTTTCTTTTTTTTCCATGTCCCTTTAGGGGCTCCGTATATATATCTTCCTAGCAACGTCTTTGCAATTTGTTACCAGTAAGTAGTATTTAGAACTTACTGTACTTGGTAAAGTACACTTCCACCAATCGATGTGCAATTTTTAAAAAGATAATTGGAAGGGGATTTTTTAGCATACTTGTTCGTAGAACTCGTTGACGATGCCCTCTGTCCACTGCAGGTGCAGCTCCTTACACTTCAGCGGTCCATTGACATCAGCCAGCTTGATGCACATCTGGCACACCAGCAGCCGGTCGTTTTCGTTGGTCCAATCAATACCGGAAACCCCTTCGTCACCCACCTGGGGAGATGTGCACAGGATGGTTTGTGTTAAAACCGTTATGAAATCCCTTAGTTTCAAGACAATCTGAGAGGTTATTCCAAAGATTTTTTACCTTAGCGTTAAATTCTGCAAGGAAGTCAAAGTGCTTTTTGAGGTCAGTGGCCAGGATGGCTTCAATAACTAGGAAGCGGAAGCGTTTGAACTCCACATGTTCGAGGTTTGCCAGGAAGTTAAACTCAGGTCGGGACATAAAGAGGTTCCACGCTGAAGCTGCATGGTGGTTCTCCAAGACGGAACGATCATTGTACAGAAGAGCCTACAGTGGAAGACCAAGAGGAGAAGGTGAAATACAATTCAGTCTTGTTATATAAGATGAACACTTTAGTGTTTTTCACCATGAGAATTGTGGTATTGATATTGACTCTCATGTAATGGATAGAGCTTATTAATTATCTGGTCGGCACTGCCAATAAGCTAATATTGATATGTTCAAATATAATAATAACAATTACTAGTTTTTTTATGGCATATTCCCCCTAGGTTGTTGAATAACTATTATTAATGTAAATTATTACCTTCATGAAATACATTTTTTCACATATAGTACAGGTTGTCACATTGACTTATTGAGTTCAAAGCAAACGTTTTTTGTGACAGCTTGCTCTACTTTATGCTGTTGCGCAGAGTCAGTCTTACCTGCGGTGCACTTGTAGCTACAAGGAAAGCGTTAGTCCTTCCAGGATGGTCATAATCGTGCATTGCAGCAGCTACATAGAGGGCCATGAGCTCCAGGCCAGGGATGAGGCCAGCCAGGGAGCTGTAGCCGTCCTCCAGCACAGAGTTCATCTTGGACACCAGGAAGCCTGTGGCACCAGGAGAAATGCCATTCTCTGGGTCTACGAGCAAAAAGAAACAAAGCTCACACTCCAGTCACTGATGGTGCTCTGTGCTCGAATGATTCCCCCTTATTAGTTACACCTCATTATTCGTCCCCAGGTTGTCGTGTTAAATGTCTGTCTGGAATATGAGTTGTGGCTGCGCCTGTTGCCTTGGTCCTTCTTGACGCCCACGTTATTATTTTTGGCAGCAGCGAAAAGCTGTTAGACAACTTTTATTTTTCACAATGTAAGTAAGTTCACGATGTTATTTTTTTCATATGGATTGTCTATGTTGTTATTATTAAGTTGCTTATTCTAAACGCACGATATCTATTGCAAGTCTGTCTCTCCTGCGAGAGGGATTCCTCCGCCTCTTGGATTTTCTTAATACCTTTTAGTTTTTTTGTGGGGGAGTTTATATTTGTCCACTGCAAGGGGCTAAGGACAGAGGGTGTGTTTTGATATACTGTACAGCAAACAACAATTAAACTGTGTACAGCCTTTACACATTTGAAAACCCCTGAGGCAAATTTGTAATTTTTACTAATTTCACCTAGCTACTATTATTATTTAATCGGAAGGACATTATCAACATACTGTGTCTGTCTGTCTGTCTGTCTTTTGTAAACAATGTGTGCATGTTCAGTTTAGTTTTGTTTCGTAAGCCTTCCTCTGTGAATGTGTGTGAAATAATATGCAACATGTTACAGCATGTATTACATGATTTATCTGGACATAAGAGATCAACTGGCGGTGGTGGCAAAGTCAATAGGGACTTGGCTTGAGAACTGGAAAGTCACCAGTTCAAGTCCCGAAAGTCCAAGTGCTACCGAGGTGTCCCTGAGCTAGGCACCGTTCCCCACACTGCTCCCCCCAAGCGCCGTACATAATGGCAGCCCACTACTCCTAACAGGATGGATCAGCAATGTATTATACCTACAAACATCTGGACCTTATGGGGAACATATTGTGCAGGCCTGCTCTTAAAACGTATGCATTAAAAGTCCTCACCAGTGTGTATCCCATTCTCAGTCAGCAGGGTCGGCAGGCCCGGTACCGGCTGAGTGGTGAGGTACCAAACAGCATGGAGCACATCAGTGGCATGGATCCGGTTATGATCTGGGGAGGGTAAAAAACATTTTAAAAAGGGGTTGATACGATTGATTGCAGTCAGCAGTGTTAGGCTTGCTCTTTTATAATAAATATTTGTAAAATCTTAGATATATGTTGCAAAAGTACATTGCAGGCACTATTTTCCCGGTTTTCATAGGGAAGAGAACATCTAAACCATGTACACCTCCTAAAAATAATTGCATAATGTATAAATATAGTTGTACTCTATTTTAGAAACATAAGGATTTTAGATGCTGTAAAACCATTTTAAAAGCTCATACTACCCATCAGCTACATATGCCATTTCAATATGAATTGAAATGAGCAAATAGTTAATTAGATATGATCATCTTGTGACTTGATATGTCTGCCAACTGTCAAGTATAAGAGCACACCGTAAATTACTAAAGCAGAAACAAGGCCTGTTCTCATATCACTTTAACAAGGCACTACATCCCCCTTGTGGCTGATAAAAGTAATGCTCGACATCAATAATTCACTTAATTTGATAAACATGAAAATCTTCCACTCACAAGGGATGACCCTGTATCCGTTCTCCAAAGCATGGAAGTAGTTCATGAACTCTCGTACAGGAATTCTGAAGGTCTCAAATAGACCTGTGTCCTCAAAGAGCTTATAGGAAACCTGGGATATGAAACAAGGAAAACATACTGTGAGTCATATTTAATAGAGGTTCAGAAGTACCTGCACAAGTTAGATGCCGCCTATCACAGTGCACTGAGATGTCTTACTAATTGTAAAGCACTTACTCATCACTGTACCCTGTATGCCAGGGCAGGTTTGCCTTCACTTACTGTACGGAGGCTCAGTCATTGGTACATGTTCATATATAAAGCCATGTTGGGTAAACTCCCGTCTTATATCTGCTCTCTGATCAGACAGAGAGTTGCAGGTAGCTATTGCCTGAGATCACATGATGTGGTCTTATTACATGTGCCAAGTGCAAGGACTAACTTAGGCACGAAAGCTTTTATGTGCGCAGCTCCTCTTGCTTGGAACAGTCTTCAAAAATAATTGAATTGAATTTGGTTCCACTGCATGTTTTTAAAGCTCGGATAGGTGCAATGATACTTGATACTGTTGGTACTTGTCAATGTCGCTAGGTATGTAATAAATGTAGCCCTGTAAATATGATGTATGATGTCCTTTATTGTTTTATGTTGTTTTATGTTTCATGTTGTAACCTACTTGCTGCAGGCCTCCCTTGAAAAAGAGATCAATGATCTCAATGGGACCTACCTGGTTAAATAAAGGTTTGAAAGTAGCACATATTTTGTTAAAGAAAGGTTGAGAATCGGCGAAGACAAAATTATTTTTGGAACAGCTGGAAAATATGTCTTCCCACTGCCTGTACAGCGAATGCTACTTCTACACCAAGCTGTTAATTGCATACATGTGAAACAGTCCTAAAATTAGAGTCCCCCTTAATTGAATTGGTATTGATATCTCAGAAATCTTTTAAGTGTTTCAACATTTCATCATCAATAAGTGATTTACCTGACTAAGGATGCAGCCTGTCTTGCCATTGGTCTTCTCCATCAGACTGAAAATAGGAAAGTTCCAGTTGTTGATTTGACACAAGAGAGGCTCCAGCTCCGACACCGCCAGAGGCTCCTGGGCAGAGATTGGCTTGTCCTGTCAGGTAGAGTAAAATAACTTATATCATTTCAACATCCTTATTAAGAAAGAAATGATCCATCTTCTTCTTTTTCTCATAGTTTTTTTGAGGGATTTGAAGCATTTGAGCTCATAAGAGACAATTGAGACTTTTTTGTTCCTGTTACCCAATCAGCCCTTTCTGACGGCCTACCTCTGGTGATGGCAGGAGTGGGTGAAGAACGATGCCCTCTGCCAGATACTCCCTGCAACCTTCCCTGGCTTCAGGCTGCTTCTTGCCTCCCTCTCCCTCCTCATCATTCTGTGCAAAGTCGCTGCTGTCACTGTGGTTGGTCTCATAGGTGCTGTCGTAGGTGCTGTCATAGTCTGAGGAAGCTACTGCGCGCTCATCTGGGGACACAGTACACATTGGAATTGAATACATTGATATTGGCAGTAAAACAAAATTACAATGAGGGACAGCGAGTTAAAGGTCCCCTATTATACTGTTTTTCATCAATATATTATAGGTCTCAGATATATACAAAACATGTCTCTGAAGTGTAGTCGAAATACCAAACAGTATCATTGTAGCATCCCGTAATCCCCTCTGTTTCAGCCCTGTTTCAAAAGTGCTGATTCTCTGTCTGTTACTTTAGATGAAAATAAGGAGCCACTCCCCACGCCCCTCCGAGAGATATTTGGTTAAAAAGAACACAATGGTGCTCTAGGAGGAGATGCAGGTGATAAGGTGGGGGGGCTTACCTTGGTTGGTGATTGGCTAATGTTTACACAAGCCAAAAAATCGTTATGACATCATAAAGTTGACAACATCTGATCAGCTCATTTTCAGACAGGTTTTTATATAAATGGATCAGGGCAAAAAGTGAGCCAATCTTTTTTCCTGAAACTTTCAGAATCTCACAGAGGGGACACGTATGAATAAAAGACGTGAAAAGGTGGATTTTGCATAAAACGGGGCCTTTAAATCATATTATGAACCTCGAAAATAAGATTGAAAAAATCTATCATAGAACCTACTCTGCTGTTTACCTGGATGGGGTATTCTGTCCCCTTTGTCGAAAGATTCCCCCCTGTGGTTCAATTGATTGTTGAATGGCCTGCCACAGCTGATGGGAGGAGAGCAGAGAAGCGACTCATTGAGAAAACGAATTTCCCTCATTTTCACACAAACAGGCGCTTCTAAAGCCTCATTACAATATTTGGGAATTGGAACTTTTATGAATGGAAGATAATATTGTGTGTTTGTGCATGTATGTTACCTGCCGCAGAGTGATGCAGGCCGCCAGTGAGGGGTGGTGGAGCTCGGGGCGCTTTGGCTGTGAGTTAAGGCTCTGTGCTGGCTCTTGGGGACCACAGAGCCAGGGGTCTGCTCTAAAAGGGGCACAGCCAGCTCAGGAAGCTGCACTGAACATGTCTTGATGGTTGGGCTGGAGGCAGGCGTGCCCTGGTGGGGAGGAGATGGGCACGGAGAGCCCAGAGGTGATACGTTGGAGGGGGGGAAACCTGAAAGAGAGGGCAATATTAACTCATATCCAAACATCTTTCTGTAGTTTGATCCTCTTGATACCCGTTTTCCTCTGTCTTTATCTTATTAATGTACTTATTTTTTTTAACAAACACACAGAGACACACCTGGTCTTCCCAGTGGATTGCTGTAGAGGTGGTTGATGGTGACGTTGGCAGCATAGGAGGCGGACATGGAGCGACTCTTTGAGATGGTCATCATCAAGGAGTTGTTCCACAATTCACTGATTCAATGTAAGAAAACCATCACCGTTACTGTAATCAGAGGCACTGTAATGCTCTTGATTGCAGTGCGTTGTGTGTGAGCGTTACCTCTCTGTGGTGTGTTTGATGCTGGCTGAGCGGTCTCGGCGCACAGGGCCCGGCTCGATGGTGGGCATCCCTGTAGCTGAGGTGGTGGTGGTCCAAGTTGAGGAGATTCTCCTGAGCAATCCTGGGGGCAAGCTCCGTCTTAGACGCTGTAAGGCAGATAAACAAACACACGTTTAGGCTGTAGAAGAAGCTTCAGGAGTCTGATGAGGCCATAAGGACAACATTATTGTACTTGGGCACTGAACAGAATCTTGAGTGGGAAAACTACTAAATCAAATCAAATCAAGTTTTATTTATATAGCACATTTTTAAAACGATTTTTGGTCGAGCCAAAGTGCTGTACATATAATAATTACCTTACAGTAAGGACACTATACAGCAAATACAACAGCACAGTTTGTGCAGAATATCAGTATGAGAAAACGACACCCTCTGTCCTTAGACCCTCACATCGTACAAGGAAAAACTTCCGGAGAAAAAATCCACAGTTTAGAGGGAAAAATGGGAGAAACCTCAGGGAGAGCAACAAGAGTTGCAAGGTATTGGAAACTACAAAAATAATATATCTTGCCAGTGTGTTTGTAAGAAAAGTACATTTTTATGTCATGATAAGTAGAACTACAGTATATGACAACACCCTTAGAATACCTACATTTGATATCATACCCTGGATTCTTGTGAATTAACATGAGTACCTTTTGCATTTCAAATGTCTTGCTTTCTGTCTTTTCACATCTGCTCTAATTCCATTTATGAATACCAAGGCCTTGTTTTCATAAAGCAAGTTTTGTTAATGTTAAATGAATATATTACCATGGCATTTGTACATCCCCTTAAACAGTTTTTGTTTTAAAAGATAGGCAAGTATGAGAAAAAGTTTGGGGAAAATCCCCAAAAGTCACAGTTTACACAGTTCCCACAATTAGAGACCAAATAGAACATCAAGGAACGAATCGCAGCTCCATTTCCACACAGAAATAGCTCTATTAGTTAAACTGACAATTCAAGTTAGCCTCAGGCAAATTAGTTAACTCAGAGCTATATTTTCTTACAAAGAAATGGTTGTGTCTCCTCTTTAGCATCAAACTAGATGGGTGCCCTATTTGTACTTCCAGACCATTATTGTGTATGTAAGCATATGGGAGACAGAATGGCAAGTAGAGAGAGTGACACTTGTTTCCCCCGTGGATTCAATCTATCCAAAGTTGTACATTTTGTTGTAAAGCCTTGAGCCAAACTCAGTCAGTTTTTGTACAGTCAGTGTGTCTCTCTCTCCCTCTCCCTCTCGCACACAAAGGCACACACACAATGGTCTATAGAGGGCAGCAGAGGATCACATAGATTGAAGGAAGTACAGTTGATTGTTAACTTGTTAGGATAATGCACACACACACACATACACCACAAACAAAAACACACGCATGCACACACACACACAGTTTTCTACTTCCCTCCCACAGCGAAGGAAAGCTATGCAAAGGCATCTAACAGTGTTGAAGAAGGACAGAGTGATCAAACACTGAGCATCACGTCTGCTTTTCACTGTTGAATTATATTACTGTGTGGAAATGCAGCTTTGAATTCAGATCTGAAACATCTGCACTGCATTATTATGCAATAATGTAGCTGACAAGAATATAAGTAGACATGAAGTTGGCTGTAATGAACTGCTGCATGTTATCTTGGACGTCTCACATAAAGTCTCTGCTTCTTTATTTCTGTACTAAAGTGAAGAAAATAAAAACCCCATTGGGATGATTTGGATGTGTAGCTGTAATATGAACTTTTACAAATATAAATCAGTGCCCCAGATGTGTGGTTTAATGTTTGGCAGATGCTATAAAATTGACAAATAGCCAGAACTGCTTGATATAAACCCTGGGAAAAGAGAGCCGAAACGGTTCATCAGCGTTTAACCAAAATAAAACAAAGTGTTTTTTTGTGCCATTTAGCTAAGAAAACACCAGAATAACAAATGCACCTTGGTCATCAACATTTCTTATTGCCTTTATGTAACTGCTATTTCTGACAGGGCAGCACAAGTCAGCTGAATCACCAACTGTAACCCATTGCTTCATGCAGACTCACAAATCCCCAATGAGCTAAAATGAGACAGCATCTCATTGAGTTTCACTACATGGGTCGAGCATTTGAGTGCACTCAGGCAGTGTTAAAGCTGCTTGTCACTTTCCTGGTAGGCTATCCTGCATTGCATCACACGCTTTACTTAGTTTCCTTGCCGCCTTAAGTGCACGCATACATTTTGAAGTACTGGCGATGTAAAACATTAAAAAGCCCTCTGGAAGCCTGTGCGTCATTGTTAGCTACATTAGAGCCCCACACTACGCAAGCAGTAAGGGAAGGAATGGGGGTGTACTGCAGCGTACAACAAAACTTAAATTCTTATGGTAATACATCTACGTTTTCTTATTCAGAGATATTTCCTTTGTACTTTGCTTCCTGATGGAGAACATTAAGATCTATTTACAAGCCCTAGGAAGTATTAATACATATTAAGGAGGCCGATAAAGTCTACTTAGAATAACACACACTCCAACACAAAACTGCATAAGAGGAAGTTTCAACATGCATGATCTTTAAAAAAGCTATTGCTCTTCCAAAGCTGACACATTCTCTGCTGTTGGTTCAGTGTAATAATTCCATATTGCACTTTTGGACCATTTTGTCAGTGAAAACATGCAGGGAGAAAGAGGGGGTAGGGGAGAGTGGGACGAAGAGGGGGGAGCTGGTGAGAGGGAGGGGGAGGGCTCGATAACTTGTTTTGGTCATTGAGCCTAGTGGTAGTGTACAGTTCTCTTCATCATACGTGAAGTGTGTGAACTCAACTGCAGAATGTACTCTCTATATTAGCATTTTCTTTTTATTATCTGCTCTGTGTTGACATTGTTAGGCTGAAAACACATGGGTTGATTCCTGAGATATGTTGAATAATAGTAGCATAAAGCCTTTTGTGGCTCCAGGGGGAGCTGCATTAAATCTGATAAATTGCTTCAACTAACGTCACTGCGTCAGTTGGGTTTGAAGACTACAAGAATCTGGAGGTGTGGAGAAAGAGAGATTTGTTTCTTCCCCCTTACTTTGGTGTTCCAGGACAAATTTGACCGGTCGGTTTTAACTGCTCTTAGATGAGCATAAAAAACATTAATCATCACCACCTTTTATTTAACAGCCATTTAAGCTGTAAACAATGTCTCAAGACTACTTGTTACATTAATAACTTCAGTGAATATACAAAGAATAGACATTAACATTTTGTTGGTTTGTGGGTGTGTACTATCTGATGGGTGAACATCTAGGTTACCCATTCATTTCATATGGCGGCCATTTTTTGGTAAAGTTGACTAAACCACAAAGTTGACTAAACCAACCAAAATTCAATGAAAGTGATGATCAGCAATTTAACATGTCAAAATGCCCACTGATATCATAATGCCTTGAGGCAATCAAATGTAAAACACAACATTTATGATTGATGAAACTAGTAACTTGGTCAGATTTGACCCGAACACGACAGGAGGGTTAAGTAAATTGGGGGTGGTTCAACCAAAAAGTTAATTTGGTATTTCATAGGAATTTCCATTACCAACAACACTAATTTGTAATGTCTCATTATTCTTTTAGTTCATCTTTGACGCCTACAATTTAACTAGACATCTGTGGGAGGGTCCTGACCCTCAGGTTGGGTCCAGTGCTACAAGTCACCATGGTGTTGATTTATGTATCTGTATTATATAACTCAGTATAAAAGACTATGCTATTGAGCATAATCAGTGTCATTCTTACAATAAATCTTTGGGGGCCCAATTAATTGTCCTCTTAGCTGGCGAGTGAACTCCCAATTAAAATCACTATCGTCATTTTAATCGATATAACATTGATTATTGATGTTATTTCACACAGGACCAAAAAACAGAAAATAAACACATTTTAAAGGGAGAAAAACATTTACCTTTGGAATGGCCAGTCTCTCTGTTTTCTCCGGCCCCTCCTCAGAGTCAGAGCAGGTGTTTATGTCTGCAGGAATGCGGGGCCGATGGAGCGGCTGGAGGCTGATCTGGGTGCTGAGGAGGTTGCTGACGGCCTTCAGGGAGCTGCAGGTGTTGGGGGGCAGCGAAGGGTCTGCCAGCAGGTCTGAGATCAGACCGTGGGCCTCCCCCATCACCGCGATGTCCACGACCACATTCGTGCCCGAAGACTGTAGAAGAAAAGAGATAAAGAGATAGAGAATGAGATAATAATTCTTTGTTCATCTTTGTGGTGTAATGCAATGATGATGCGGTGAACATACGTCACGCCACACTGACGCACACAGCTATTTTATCTCGGTACCTGAGAGGAGAAGGGAATATACACTGTGTGTGTGTGTGTGTGTGTGTGTGTGTGTGTGTGTGTGTGTGTGTGTGTGTGTGTGTGTGTGTGTGTGTGTGTGTGTGTATGTGTGTGTGTGTGTGTGTGTGTGTGTGTGTGTGCGCGTGTGTGTGTGTGTGATCTGAAAATGTCATATGTGCTGTGTGTTGGAGCATCTGTCTTTATACTTAATTTAACATCCTACAGTCCCAGCAGGTACTAACTATGACATCCTTGTTCAGGTGAGGTGAAAGTCTAAATATGTGATAGAAAATAAAGCTGGTAGCATGATGGCAATTAAGGTTGAACATGTATGATGCTGTAAAACATATAATAGCCGTGTCCTACATTCTACAACACTCCAATTAGGAATTAAAAACACTCCCGCTTCTCCCGTCCTGCCTACATTTAGCTGTCACTCATCATATTGACTCGTAAGCCCAGAGGCTCATGTATGTTAAAGGTCACCCCTGTTAGCTTTCAGTATGGATTCAACCGTTAATGTCAACATGTGCTAATCATCTCCTCTTTAGCTTCTAATCAATTTCCACACACTCTGAATCATATGAAAAACACACACACACACACACACACACACACACACACACACACACACACACACACACACACACACACACACACACACACACACACACACACACACACACACACACACACACCACACACACACACACACACACACACACACACACACACACACACACACACACACACACACACACACACACACACACACACACACACACACACACACTTAGCATTTGTATGCCGTATGACACAATTGGTACATGAAAACAAAAAGTCGATAACGTAGACTTTGAATGAAACTCACAAATCTTCCAACAATGCAATAATGGAAAACTTAAATGCGTGTCTGAAATCAAAGGCCAACCTTCAGTTATTGGCAGTTATCATATTTTTCTTACAGCTACATTTCAGAGGGTTTATTAGCCTGGCCTACTCTCCAACAGGGATGTGTGTTTACAACGCTAGTTTAGGTTAGAAGCTTATTTGGAGAACATTATTAGGAACTTTTGGACCAAAAACCAAAGGCCCGCCATTAAGTATTTGAAATCAATCTTTTGGAAAAAACAATGAAGCATCATCATGACAGTTGCTGAACTTTGTGTGAACCTTTCCTGTTTACTCAGTATATAGTGTAGATATCCTCTTTATGTATCTGTCTCTACTCTTGACGTCTTGATAAAAGATAATCACAGCAAACAATAAAATGCAATGCAAACTTTGAATTTTTGTTCTCCTTTTTTCGATCCTGTATTCTGTTCTCCACTGTGCCAGCACATGAAGCAAATTAGCTCACGTGATACCTCCATGCATAATCCTTCACCCTCCCATCTGCCTGCCCCCCCGAGGCTGCGAGGCTTGGAGACTGGCAGCAACCTCTGCTTTTGCCACTCCGCTTGTATCTGTGCCCTTTCCACTTTGTTAGTGATTTTACTCAGTATTCTACTCTATTTGGGTCCTCAATTCATCTTAAACACGTTCAGTCACTCTTCTCTACTTCACATACTGTATATATATTTGACTCTGGTAGAGTTTATTTCTAGGTACTAAAACAGTACTAAAAGTAGAGTAGGTAGAGTAGATGGGGAAACATAAAATGTAACAATGGCAGAGCCCCCCCTCTGTAGTCAAACAAAGTGACGGATGATTCTCATACTTTGCTTCTTTAAACAGATTGTATTAGCTCTTCAAACATATCAGAGCTCCGGCCTGTGATGTGATGAGTAAATGCATCAAGCACATAGGAAGATAGTTTCCTGGAAGAGCGCGTGTCTGTTTGTGTGCATGAGCGGGTGCGCATGTGTCACCTCAACCTGAACAAAACCCATTAGACCACTCCAGAGCTTTATGACATCCTGCTATTGTGACATTCACCCATTACCTGGCAGTAATGGTCTCTGTTCAGCTAATGTCAGGGAGAGAGTCAGATAGAAGGAGCTTGTCTGTCTGTCTGTCTGTCTGCCTGTCTGTCTGTCTGTCTGTCTGTCTGTCTGTCTGTCTGTCTGTCTGTCTGTCTGTCTGTCTGTCTGTCTGTCTGTCTGTCTGTCTGTCTGTCTGTCTGTCTGTCTGTCTGTCTGTCTGTCTGTCTGTCTGTCTGTCTGTCTGTCTGTCTGTCTGTCTGTCTGTCTGTCTGTCTGTCTGTCTGTCTGTCTGTCTGTCTGTGTGTTGCAGCCGTTTCAGGAAAATAATGGTCTCAGTTAAATGTCTATTTAAGCCTAGGAAACAAAGAACAAGGCTACGTTATATGTATGCATTGGCAAGTCCATTCAGTAAAACATGTAAAAGCATTTGAGAGGATGGAGTGCTACAGAGCGACGTTCTGGTGGAGACACAGTGAGGCAACACGAGGGAGAAGGTTATCGATTCCTCCCAGCATAAAGGCCGTCAGGAGACAGCAGGCGGAGCGATGGTCAATGAGTAAATCATCAGTGGCACTGGGCACACACAGGCAAATGAGTGTATACACACAGGCATGCATGTACCAGAATTGCCCCTTGGGATCAGTTTGTCAAGCGTTCAGTGTAATACAGTACATGCTGTGCACAGAAAGATGGGATATAATCACATAATATTAAACACTGGCCTATGATGATGAACACAAATAAGAAAAATAAGGTCAGTGAACATCAAGTGTAGAGCTGCTGTCTGTTACGACTCAAAGCTGCATAACATCATCAAAGCTAGACTCAGAGAGTATGGGCTAACTTTACTAATTGTTAAACCATGCTACACCCCAGCATGTGCACTCCGCTCTGCATCAGCCAAACGGCTCGCTGCACCCGCACTGCGAGGGGGACCCAAGTTCCCATCGGCAAAAACATGTTGGTTTGCTATCCTGGCTCCAAAATGGTGGAATGAGCTCCCCATTGAAATCAGGACAGCAGAAAGCCAGCACATCTTCCGGCGCAGAATGAAAACTCATCTCTTTCGACTCCACCTCGAGCGATAGAATGGAAAAAACAAAAATAAAAAGCACTTACATACTAACAAAGCACTTATATACTAACAAAGGACTGGCTTATCTAAATCCTATTGAGTAGCACTTACAATGGTTTGGCTCTATGAAACCTAATGTACTTATATGATTCTGTTTTCTTCAAGTTTGTATCGTCTTGGTCGAATGCACTTATTGTAAGTCGCTTTGCATAAAAGCGTCAGCTAAATGAAAAAAGTAATTATGAAAATCCATCTAAATGCAACACATGTAAAGAGGTAGTTGCTTGTCAATGGGACCACTTAAGAGGCGTGTGGCGCAGTGGGTTGTGCGTAGGTATTGGGATCAGGGGGTCACAGGTTCAAACCCCACTGCAGTCAGCATGTCGTTGTGTCCCTGGGCAAGACACTTCACCCCAAATTGCTCCTGTGGGGATTGTCCACAGTATTGAGTATGTAAGTCGCTTTGGATAAAAGCGTCTAACAAGTAACATGTAATGTTAAGAAGCTGTCCTTCAAAACTGTTTACGAAAGCAGGCCCTTTCAAATATAAAATACTTGGCATGGGATTGGATAATCTCTCAATCCAACTCTTAACGGAACCAGTTGGAAAATAAGGGAAATTGTCTTCTCAATTACAAAAACATTCAGGGGTTGTCTTTGCTCTTCTTTTAATAAACAAATAAACTATTATGTTATAACTGATATTATTTCAGCATAGACTTAAACCACTGCCCCTAGCAGCAGGTAACACCTCACAGGATAATCATTTCCCAGGATATTTTGAGAATCCAGGTTCCATGCAAAGTAAGGTGACACCACAAACTTCATGATACAAATACTACATTCAATACATCTGAAGCAGTGCAACATATTTGACTGCCTTTGTAAAGCAGTTGCTGCACCTACGTCCTCATGCAGATGGTATTTGTAAAACTAAGAATGTGATCGTCTCTACATCATCAAATCAAGGTAAAAGTTGACATCATGTACAATTAAGTAGTTATTAAATCAGGACACAGTTAGCATCTGTTTCAGGCACTTCTAGGAGTCATAAAGTTAAAACTTATATTCCTAAATGTTGAATCCTTTCAAATATTTGTATGCTTTTATTTTTTAAACCAAACTATGGAAGGTAGTATCAACAAGAATATTGATTGAAGTATCAGTATCAATACGCAGTATCAGTATTTATATCTATATCAATAAAATCCATAGGAGACCTCTCTCTCTATGCCAAGAAAAAAGTAAAGAGAGTAGCATTGAAAGCGATTCCTTCATCACCAAATCATAATTGTTATCCTTCACTTTACCTCTATAGGATTCAAAAGACACCTTTGTGAAATAAACTGGCATGACGTTTTCACAGGTCCTCACAGGCCCAAAAACATGTAACCTGATTTAAAGTCAGCCCATGCATTTAAAATGAGATGTTTTGATTGCAGTCATCAGGCCTGAATCACACACACAGGGATGGTTCCCCTTCGAGCACAGATGTTTGTTATTATCTTGGGGATGTCCACTATCGGCAACTTTCGCTCACCCGTTTTTTCTTCCAGTTTCTTATTTCACATCTTCTTCTTGTTCCCATATCTGCTATTTCGCACAATATCAGTTTTCCACTCTACCCCATCCCCCAGCTCTCTCCTGAGACAGTTAAGAGATATGTAGGCAGATCAGGCATAAAGGCAGATGGTGAGAGCAGAGAGAGAGGGAGAGAGAGAGAGATAAAAAGCGATAGAGATAGAAAGAGCAAGAGAGAGAGCCAGAGAGAGAGAGAGAGAGAGCCAGAGAGAGTGGCTGAGTCCACAGGCAGGCCATGGCCAGTCAAGTGAAAATGAGAACAGGCAGCTGAGCTTCTCCACAGCC